CTTCAAACGACGCCGGCGAACCCGGCTGGTGTTATGTCGCGCTCATTGCGGCAAAAGGCGTGAATATGCGCGGTAAAGTGGCCAACTACGCCTTTAATGTGGAACTGTATGAATGCCTGACGTGGAATGTGAACTTAGATAATCCCATCTGGCGCACCGAGGGCTGCTCTGCGGCGCTGGATTCGGAAGGTAGCGACAACATAACATGCTTTTGCTACCACATGTCCGTATTTGCTGGTCGCTCGTACTACAGCACAGCCGAAGAGGTGGTACGTGAGCGCTTGTTAAAGGAGAGCCTCGACGTGAATTGGTACCTTGTAGCATTCTACGTACTGCTGATTTTAGTCTTTATCTGGTTGTTGCTGCGCACCTGTGATGATTTAGCAACAAGCCAAGCGCAACAACAGTTGGTGACAGCGTTGGCTGAGAACGAACGCGAGAAGTCGCGTAACATTGCGCTGCACATCATGACCGGCGGTCAGTGGACGGCCGCCAGTTCGGCAAATGTGGTGGTCGCGCTGCCAGGTGGCCGCAGCTACACAATCACACAGAACCCCGAGCAGCCGCACTTGAAGCCCTACACCACCTGCGTACTAGAGCTGCCTGTGAAAGCGAGTGAATTGCAGGGACCGTTGCAGATAACTATAAGCCAGGATAAGAGTGGACGCTATCCCTCCTGGTACTGTGAGTCGATAACAATAGTGAATTTAGAAAATGGCAAGAAGCAACGCTGTACAGTACGAAAGTGGATTGGCGCAGAGCCAGTCGTTGTGCAACCAGACGAAGAAAGCCAAAATGACTCAGCGGTCGAGGGCGCTGCAGGAAATGAGCAAATTTCCAAAGCACAGAATTGGAAAAAAGTAAAGGCTGCCTACCACGATGTATTCATGACTTGGTTTCTATTTCAGCCGCTTTTCGGGCCTTGGCAATACGGCGTGGTTAAGGTCGATCGCTTTGTGCGTAGTTGCATTTGGATAGCAAAATTTGCGGTTATCCTGTTACTTGTTTTCCTTTATTTTGGCGATACTAATCTGAATAATTATGAAGCTGAGCGGAGCGAGTATGAGTTCTTGATACGTGTTATGGACGGCTGGTTCCTGCTCTTTCTGCTATGCTGCTACGTTGTAACGCTTCTAGTGGAATTGCTGCTACTTCTGGTTGTATACCCAGAGGTTCTAACAAAATGTCGCTGCAAAGGTCCTAAGGAGAAGGGTGGAGTGCCGCAGACGGCAGAGAAAAAGCCAGAGATGGGGTTGAGTGTGAAAGAACAAGAAGAAGAGGTCATTGCAAATCCAAAATCTCAAGACGATGAAGAGACACCTATGTCTACAGCTGAGGCGCAAAGAAAAAGTTCAAGGCCAGACGTAGGCAAAGGTTATATGATGGAGGGTGCCTAATGAAGGCAGATAATATGGTTTATAATTGTTAATAGACTTTTATTAAACATTTTCCTTTTTTATTTTTAACTGACTTCCAAAAAAGGGGGAGGTTATCAGTTCGTTTTTTTATGTATGTTACCGCATAACTTTGGACCACGTCAACCGAATTCGATAATCCTTTTTGCATCGGAAAGGTAGTGTCTCAGAGGTGGTCCCATACTAATCTGGTTTAGATATATATATATATATATATATATTATATATATTTTTTTAAGTCGGTTACTTACTTACTTGTTGTTGTTCATATTTGTTGCAAGTTCATTTTAAAATTTTTTAACTGACTTCGAAAAAAGAAGGACGCTTATCAATTCATCGGAATATTATTTTGTTAATGTATGTTGCCGTATAACTCTGGACCACGTGAACCATTTTCGAAAGGTGGTACCTCAAGGGTAGTTCAATTCTAATTTGATTTAGTTTCGATCATTGGATCATGAAGAAATTAACGGTACTCCTAAATTGTTATACGAGCATTAAAATCGGTTGTAGTTTTTGCTTTAAAATTACTTGTTTACATATATTTAATTTAAAATTTTTTACGTTTTGCTTCTTTATGGTTAATTTTTTTTTTGTTGTCAACAAAAAATGTCATCTGATTCATTTAAATAGTTTGTTCTAGCAAAAGCGACCTTTGTAAAACATGCGAATATGTGTCCAAATAAAGAGCACTTAAAATTCTAAAGAACCTTTAAGCTGTTTTTTTATAAATTAAGTTCAAATGGAAGCTTTTGCTTAGCTTTTTTTGTTGTGAGACGACATGACGGCCGAAAGAACAACTTTCTAAGCTTTTACCTGATCGCTGCTTTCGGTTTTCACTTAAATTAAAAACTTTATTGAAGTGAGCTTTCGCTCAGCTCGTTTTTTTTTAATGTGTTGACTAGATAGCCGTCGAAATACCGTAATAGTGCTTTAAGGTGGTACAAAAATACATCTGAAATAAATTTTTGGAATTTATTTGCTGCCTTGCTCCAGAATTATAGAAAAATCAGTTTATATTTAACCGTGCCGCCGCTTTGAATTTTACTATACATATATTTTATATGCAGAATATATCTACATATTTTTTTCTTGTTTAATTTGCTAAGAAATTATGATGCAAATTTAACTGTAAAATTTTTGTAAATAGGACCCGAGATTGTCGGTTATAAAAAAGTATTTAGTAAAATTTTTAAGTTAAATATGCATCATAATATTTTTATTTGAAGGCTTCTGAAAGACTATTTTTATTTGATCAAAAAATATTTATTTTTATGTATTTTAAAATAAAATCTTTTACTTTCCCATATATTGTGTTAAACATATCGTTAATTTTGTACAAAATTGTATCACATTTTTCGTATGTCATAAAAAGTGGCTGCAAAATTGTTGAAAAATGTCGCATATGACAAAATTTTACTAAAGAATATCCTTCACAAGCTCAAAAATAATTAACTATTTATAAACAATGAAAACGATGTATGTAATTTAAAAATTTCGTGAACTAATAATATATTCTGAGGCTTTGGACAAAATCTTTCGTCGCGTTTTTTTTAGAAATTAAATTCTAAACTTCAATCGCTATTTCCTAAAACTTGGTGAAAGTAACACGACAATCTTTTATCCAGGTGACGATATATAAATATATAAGAAATAAGCATCTCCTTAGTTTTCGATATTCTTCAGTTCTGGCGGATGGCTGGAAAAAAATTTGGGTCCCCAATATATGTACATACGTACATACTTGCATATAAGAAATATGTATATTCTCTTTACATCTGAAGCCGGAGTAAAAGCGTTCGCTTTGCTCGCTTTCGCATATCGAAGATAATGCAGTTGTTTTTTGCTTAAAATCTTCAACAGAATTTTAAGAAAGTTGCAAAGTGTTCCGCCTTATTCCGATTATTCGACGAAAATTGAGATTATCATGGGCACTACGTGTCAGAACTTGTCCTTAATGTTTTCCTTCGCGACGTAATTGAATGAACGACAACCAGAATAAAGGTGATTTGTTTATGATTTTTATTCGAGAAAGATGTCCAGTCTTAATTAAGGCGGGTGCTTCGGTAAGAAATTGAGGATCTTTTTTCGGCAAAATCGAGGAGAGCGCTAAAATTAGTTGGCGACCCCTCGTGGGTCGTGAGTTTGAAAAGTTTCATTTGAGGTACAATAGGCGTAGATGAGAGGCCCATGGAAGGCAAAGACAGACAATTAACTTAACAGCTTTCTAGAATCGGCACTGAGCGCGAAAACTCGTAGATGCCCGCAACTGAAAAGACTTTGGCACTTCCCAGCAAAAAATCGGTAATCGCTTTTAGTGGTAACGTGTTCTAGAAGGCATAGCGTTGTAATGCCTTGGAATTTTTTCGCTTCTTTTAGGCATTGTCGGTAATGCAAAGTAGAATATTTTATTTATTCCGCTTCTTTGTGTCATTTTGGGAAATGCAAAGTAGAATGTCCTATAATATATCTTTCTTAATTCGCTTCTTTGCTTCATTTCAGGGAATGCAAAGTAGAATGTAATACAATATTTTATTTTTTTCGCTTCTTTGCTTCATTTCAGGGCATGCAAAGTAGAATGTCCTACAATATTTTATTTATTTCACTTCTTTGCTTCATTTCAGGGAATGCAAAGTAGAATGTCCTACAATATTTTATTTATTTCACTTCTTTGCTTCATTTCAGGGAATGCAAAGTAGAATGTCCTACAATATTTT